GGGGGGGGGGGGCAACGATGTGAGACGCAACGATGTGAGAGAGATGCATCAATTGGTTGCCTCCCACATGAGCCCTGATTGGGGCCAGGGATTGAGCCTGCAACCCAGGTACATGCCCGTGGCTGGATTCAAACCTAGACCCTTCAGTCTGCATGCCAATGGTCTAACCACAGAGCAAACTGACTGGGTCTCATTGTGGTTTCGATTTGCATTTCTTTTATGATTTATTACAAATTGTACTTGGAATTTATTTTAATCAGGTGTGATAGGACATGGAGATACGGAAATGATTGCCATGAAGGAAGAAGTTTATACTAATAGATTCATAGAAACAAGGAGGCATGACTTACCTTATAGGGCCACATGGGGATGGATCATCCATTGGTCAGTAGGCAGAGGGGAGCAAAGGGAAGATTATATAGCACAGGGTCTATAGCATTGAGGTTTTTGCAGGAAGGCAAGGTAGCACAAAGTAAACTGTTTAGGATTGGCTAGCTTGAATATTTCCCATAGCTTTGACCTATGGGTTGGTCTCTAGGTGTCTGGTTCCTGGCTGGCCCTGGGGTGATTTAGGATGGGGGAAATGGAATATTGGCTTGGTATGTGAGAGTTTGGTAAAGACGATAGGGGTGTGAACTCTGGATTGATTGTTTTGTGTCAGAGACATGCTTGTAAGAGAGTCCTTTGTAGGAATTAGCCACGGGAGGGGCAGTCTCTCCAGGACCAAGTTTCCAAATGCCAGAGCATCAAGAATACAGAAAATAAAAAAAGAGAGTCAGTACACTAATGTTGAGCATCGCTTCATGTGCTTATTGACCACTTGTATGTCTTCTCTGGAGAAAGATCTATTCAAGTGCTTTGCCCGTTCTCTAATTGGATATTTTGTCTTTTTGTTGTTGAGTTGAAGGAATTTGTTAAAATATTCTGGATATTAAACCCTTGTCAAATAAATGTTTTTTTCAGATATTTTCTCTTATTCTGTAGTTTGTCTTTTCACTTGTTCATAATGTCCTTTGTTTTGTGCTTTTGGTTTCATGTCTAAGAGTCCACTGCCAAATCATATTCACCCCATGTATTTGTCTAAGAGTTTTGTGGTGTAGCTCTTGGATTAAGTTGTTGATCCATATTGAGTTAAGTTTTGTATATGTTGTAAGGTGGAAATACATTCATCTCAGCACCATCTATTGAAGAGACTATTTTCTTCCCATTTTTGAAAATCAATTGGCCATGGATATGGGTTTATTTTTTAACTCAATTCTGTTCCATTGGTCTGTATGTATGTGTTTGTCTCTATGTCCATCTTTCTATGTCACTACCACAGTGTTTTGTTTACTGTAGCTTTGTAGTAAGTTCTGAAATCAGGAAGTGAGTCCTCCTACTTCGTTCTTTTTCAAAATTGAACTACTCAGGTTCCCTTGCAATTTGTTGTGAATTTGAGGAATGGCTTTTGCCATTTCGAAAAAGTCTTTTGAATTTTTGATAGAGATTTTGTTGAATGTATAGATTCCTTTGCACAGTATTGACATCTTGACATTATTAAGTCTTCCTATTTCTTAACAGGGGATGCCTTTGTGTTTATTCATGCCTAATTTCTTCCAGCAGTGTTTGTGATTTTCAGTGACAAGTCTTAACACCTCCTTGGTTAAATTCATCCCCAGTTTATTGTTTTAGATGGTATTTGAAATGCAGTTGCTTTCTTAATTTCTTTTTCTGATTGTTCATTGTTGGCGTATAGAAACACAACTGATTCTTGTATGTTGTTACTGTACCCTATAATAATTCATTTATTAGTGCTAATAACTTTTTTGTGGAATCTTTGAGCGTTGTTATATGTAGAATTATGTCATTGGTGATTAGAGATAGTTTTACTTCTACCATTCCAATTTGGATGATTTTTATTTTTCTTGTATAATTGCTCTCACTAGAATTTCAAGTACTATGTTGAATAGCAGTAGTGAAAACAGGCATCTTTTGTCTTATTCCTGATCTCAGGTAGAGTTTCAATCTTTCACCATTGTGTATGATGCTAACTGGGGTTTTTTATATGCTGTCATTCATGTTGAGGAGCTGATAATTTTAGCACCCATTTTAAAAAAATGTCTTTGTTGATTTCAGGGAGAGGGAGGGAGAGAGAAACATCAATAATGAGAGAGTCATTGATCCGCTGCCTCCTGCA